TAACCTAATTCAAGTTTTGTGCAAAAACGCATGATCGCTCCGGCTCGCCTGGTACGTTCCAGCCTGGGTTTTGAAGGACTGCCCATCCAACGAATAGCTTTTTTGCTCCAGAATGAATGGAGATATGGTTCGAAGTGTTACGGGCAGTTACACAGGTTCAGTAACAAGCCATCCAAGTACTGGACTGTTTCGGAAGCCCGTTTCACCGGATACGGTCTCCCATATATCCGAGAATGCTATTGTAGACCGAGAACATCTGGCATCCATATCTTCGCATATCTGCAAGCAGGTTTGTTCACCGCGTTGCTCAGATATGGAACTCATTAAATCAGTGTCAAATGCAAGAAAAACCTACTTATCATAGCAGTAATGCTATCAGTTGTGACCATTATTTTCACCAGCAGTCATGAGTATCCGGTCTCTGAGAGTGGCAGAGGCTTTCGGGAAGTAGCTCTTAGTGCTAGCAAGTGTCAAGCTATCACCCGTTGACAAGTCTGTCGATAGAACTTTCTTTCGGAATTCTTTTACAAGCAAGCTGATGGCGGATCTGACGCCTGGCATATACAATACCAGTTTATAGCCGAAACGAATGAATGAACCATAGAGGAGGATTTGGATGTCATGCTGACGGAACGGATTCCTCAACTTCCTGCACTTTAGCCGTGCAACTTCTCGCGGTGCCATGCATGCCGGCAGACAATGATTCTTTTCAGAACTGTATTTATTGCCATTTCTATCAAAATTCCTATTTAGTAAGTTTCTGGATTATCTGAAATGCACGATCTTTTCTTAACTAAGGCATGCGTATTTTGTTTACAGCTGAAAACAATTATTGGCTTGGTGACGGACTTCGTGGGTGATGTTTGTGATGAATTAGAAAGTGCCGGAAGCTTGCTTCGTGAACTACAGGTCGGTCAAATCATTTCCTTTCGTTTAAATCCGTTCAAGGCATTCAATCAGTGGCAACCACAAATGGCCCTGAACTTCGTAACTCTTCTTATTCGAGGTGATAAAAAATGCCATTTGCCAAATTAATGGGGTGCTCGTGAATTCTGTTTCTTATGGAATGCACCGCCCGGCTCCTGCAAAAAGCCAAATGGTAAAGGAGGGAGAAGGAAGTTATTCGCAGGACTTCCGGCATTATGTGTAAAGAATGGCAACTCGAAGGCGAGACGAGAGGTGTGCCGCTGAATTAGAAATGATCACTTATTTTTGTTACAAAGCGCTGTGGGTGGATGCACCAACAGATCAAGAAATGGCTGTGCTTCGCCGTGAATTCTTGACCACTGTTCGCTTACAAAGCAAAAAGTTATGTTGACTGTTGCATTTTGGAGTCAAAACATCAGCCCCTACTTGAAACTGAGACTGTATAGGTCAATAGATAATGTTGTTATATTATTTTGATGAATTCAGGTGTAACTGCTGTAAATCCCAGAACATGAGCCCGTAGCTGGCTTTGTTTTTGTGTTTTTTGCATCTGTGCAGTGCAAAAACGCATGCTGTCGAAGGGTTGTCTGTGCATGCATCTGCACCGATTTTTCATCTCGAGACCTACGAAAGCTACAAGGCTGAAACTTTGGGAATTTAATCAGCGCATGTACGGGACTTATTCTCAAAATGGGTGCCGTTGCCTATGTAGTTTTCCCGGACGGGCATGTAGAAGTTTTTGGCTGGTAAGCTGCTAACTCGGAACCAAAGAAGCTAGAAGGCTGAAATTCCAAGAGGAGATTCTCCATCCGTGTACAATCGAGCGAATTCAAAAGCAGCCCCCAGGTGTGCGTGGCTTCCACATACGGGCCCGTGAAAGTTTTTTGCGAGTAAGTTGCTAACTTGGGAACCTGAGAGGTAGAAAACTAGAATTTTAAGGGGATGTATTCACAGTCGTGATGGCCAGCTCAGTTTTTCTAGCTAGGAGCATCTGCCGAAAAAACAGCTAAATGGCCCTTTGCGGCTAGATCCTTTGCCGATTGACTAAGTAACATACATCTGGAGGGGAGGGAGCGGTGAAGAACGGAAATAATGAGGAAGTGTGCTCCTGGTTTTTACCGTAGATACCAGGGGTAGGGAAAGATAAATACTGTTTCTTTGAACACTGATGTTATAGTTGAGATGGAGAGGGGTCTATATCTTGTTTGCTAGTATGATTTGGAACAGGGTAGAGAAGGGAGATGAGAATGAAGGTTTGGAACTCGAGGCAAGAACTGGAGATAGCAGTAAAGAGAAAAAGACAACACTGCACACACAAATAAAAGCAAATTAAAGCAAATCTGATTTTGTGAATAAAGGCAAAAAAAAAAA